CAGGGCTGAGGTACTCAAACCTGGTACAACCCTTTTGAAGAACAAAGAAGCCAAGGAAAACCTTTATGCAGAAGAGTGACATAAAGATGTTCTCCATAATGGCAATTTTTCAGATGACCAATAGATAAATGGCTAAAATAATTATGATCCATCAACTCGATCGAATCCTCTACAGTCATTTAAAAGTGATAATTATGGAGATATACGAAACGCAGGGAAATGTCAATAATAGTAGTTAAAAGATTCAAAGCATACGTACACTGGGAAGTATGCAAAAATTATGTGTGCATAAAAACAAATTAAAAAGTAAAATTCAAAAATGATAATAGTGGTTAGAAAGTCATGGGGCAATTGGTGACGTTTTTCCTTCCAAATATTTTTGATGGTGTTTACAATCAAAAATAGCAATCAAACACTCCCAAAACACATCCCAGGAACAAATGCAAGGATTCTTTTCACATCTTCTCGCAAGCTTCTTTCTGGAGGAGATAGGTGGTGATTTTGTCCATTTACATGAGAAGTCAGTAAATTTTTAAAAACTTAGAAGGCAACAAAATAATATACATGTTATGATTCAATATCACATAACGCACACACATCTAGATGGACGTAAGGTAGAATATCTATTGTGGCTATTGCTGGGTGGTGAGATTATAGGAAAGATTGAGATATAGGTGAGATTATAAGAAAGTATATATACTTTCTTCCTTATACCATTTTTGAACTTAGTGTTATATACAAGTATTCATTTTTAATAATACTTGTTAAAAGATCTGTACAGGTAAACTATCACTAAACTAAAATGCTTTAACACACTCTCGGTAATCAACTCCGTAATTTCATCAGAAAAATAGGACAGCTCTCCCATATTGTTTATTCTACATCCAGAGTTTACTAATCCTGCTTTTGACTAGACTCATCATATAATTACATCTTCTGCTGGTTCAAAATTATACATCTGATGGTTATATATCTTCTGCTGGTTCAAAATGATCAACTGAGAATATGTCTATCTACAGTTCATTTAAGAACCCCGTACTTTGCACATAGATCACTGACCAATGAATTCCTATCAAGAAGGAAATGCCAGGGGCGCCTGGGTGGCTCAGCTGGTTAAGTGTCTGACTTCAGCTCAGGTCATGATCTCACAGTTTGTGAGTTCAAACCCCCCCCCCCCCCCCCCCCCCACACACACACACACACACTGGACTCTCTTCTGGCAGCTCAGAGCCTGGAACCTGCTTCGAATCCTAGGTGTCTCTCTCTCTCTCTCTGCCCCTCCCCTGCTCACACTCTGTCTCTCTCTCTCTCAAAAATAACTAAACATTTAAAAAAATTTAAAAAAAAAGGAAATGCCATTCATCTTGACTTTATTAAAAGGATTTAAATAACTTTCCGCAAATAATACTTCTTACTGTGAACTTTAAAGCCTAACAGAAAAATACAAGCTTAGAAAGCTAGTCGAATTCCCCAGGAAGAGAATGATAAGAAAAATAATCCTAAATTATTAGGTAGAAATACGTGGTGTTAGCAGCAAAAATGAATCATTATTTTCTTAAGTACTTCTAATACATTTTAAGTGTTTTATAAAAGAAACAGATACAATCTTGGTGAAATCTGAACATGGCTAGGAGACTGAGAAAAAGCAAAGATCAGAAGTCAGGAAAAAAAAATGAATAGAAAAGTAGCAAAAATCAGAGTCAAAATTTAGAGTCCCTTAAGGGGAAAAAAATAATTCCATGATAGGATGAATTAGATTCTGAGTAAATTTTAAACCTAGAATAGTTAAGAAATGTCCGTAGGAATAAATAATACATAATAATGATCATGACATCTGCTATGAGGGTGTCAGGGCTATTAGGGAAGAAAGGAGAATGTTACAGGGCAGAAAAAAAACAAAAACAAAAAAACAGTTACATTCGAAACTATTAACTGAAGCTCTGAAAAACTAGAAGCACTTTGTAGTTTTGGTTTTCAAATTTAGGCCTGTATGAAGGAATGGATGTTATCAACATCTCGTGTGTACTATCATATGAATATTAAAGTGAGGATCCAAGGTGAGAAAAGCCCTGAGCATTAGAAAACAGATTAATAGGGGCGCCTGCGTGGCTCAGTCGGTTAAACAACTGACTTTGGCTCAGGTCATGATCTCACAGTTCGTGGGTTTGAGCCCCGCGTCAGGCTCTGTGCTGACAGCTCAGAGCCTGGAGCCTGCTTCAGATTCTGTGTCTCCCTCTCTCTCTGCCCCTCCCTCGCTCGCATTCTGTCTCTCTCAAGAATAAGTAAACATTAAAAGAAAAGGGAGAAAAGCCTTCAAAAAAAAAAAAAAAAAAAAAAAAAAGAATGAAAACAGATGAATATATTCATTATCTCAAATTTGATTGGCTAAAATTGATGGTCCCCAATCTCATCCTGGCATAAGTGTGGATCAGGGATAACTCATCACATTTTTCTTCCTCTCAGGAGTTATTAAATAGCATACAGAGACAATGAAGCCAGGCCATCCCTAAAGTCTCCTCTCTCCGGCCTGTGCCACACATGATTTTTATTCTCTAAAGCCATTTCTTCCTCAAAAGAGCTCACCAAAGTCGTCATCCTTCCTATCAGCAGCCCCACTGGGCTCTAGTGAGTGACATCCAGACATTTAAACTCAAAAGCTGCTTCAGAAGGGAGTTATTAAAATTCAAATGAGCTGGGCATATTGAAGAAGAAAACACTCGTTTGCATGCACACCTCCGCATTTGGCCACCCCATTTAGACCCATAGAGCAGGGTCTGGTTTTGTTTTTGTAAATGGGCTTTGGAGGCGGAGGTCAGCCTCCCACGGCCCCCACTCCTCTGGGGTCATCGTTAGTAATGTGTAAGGCTGAATAGATTTTCCTCTGAATCTAGTCAGCAAACCTGACAAGAAGGCAGCCCTCTCCCACAACCTGAAAATGCCCAAAATCTGATTGGTAGCATGGCATTTTTAATACTTCATTTATCTGTCTGAAAATAGCTTTCAGCAAGATTGCAAATCACATCACTGATGCCAGTTCCACCTGATTTTTCAATTTTAGAGCAGAATATTTCCTGTTGTGCCTTGACTGTGTAACACAGAAATGTTATGTTTGACCAAGAATTTCCCACAGGATTCAGAGAAAATTCATGTCTGCTAAGAAATATGGATCTGGGGAGTCAACATGACATTTTATTCACTAGAAAAGGAGTATCTGTCATTTTATCTTAAGAATTTTTATTTTATTTCTCATGGAAATATCTCACATCATCATCATTTAAAATTTTTATAAGATACCAGGGAGCAAACTAAGAAAAATGAGCCAAAATATGTATTCCAAAAATTATTCTAGCCATGGAAATTTAGATGCTCCTTTAGTAAGAATTCAATTTCTTACTAATGAAGACATGTCTATTATGAGAGCTAATATAAAGAGACTTAGTTTATGACGATATAAACAGTGAACTCTACATTACGCATAATATATTACATGACTATATCCAAATATATTACGTACAACAATGACATAACTATTTATCTATTTTTTATAAGGGTATACAAAAGCAGTTAGACTAACTCATGACCCTAAAATAATAGTACAATCTCTTGAACTCGAGGAAGCAAAGGAATTTATCTCTGAACTATGAAGCCAGTTGAAATCTGGCAACTCCTGGGATTACTGTACCCGGTGGGAAATCAGACGACATGACCTTTAATGTCCTTTCCAACAGTAAGATTTTACTATTCCTTGACCTTCATTAATCAAACTTGCTTCCTCCAGATTTCTTCATTTGAATTTAAAAACTTTATTTTCCCCTAAAATTGGAATGGTTTTTGCCCAGAATGCCCTAACCAGGCCAGGCAAAAGAGAAAGTAGCAAATAGTATCAATGAAAGAATATTACATCAATGAAACGGTTTCCTAAGCCGAGATATTTTCTAGTGAGATACATTTTCTCTCACAGCATTGAAGAGTATGTGTATCAGTAAAGAGCATTTATTTTTAAGACTTATATGGCATTATTCTGACTTCAGTCAAAAACAGAACGCACTTGGAGCGCCTCAGTGGGTTAGGTGTCTGACTCTTGATTATGGCTCAGGTCATGTTCTCATGGTTTGTGAGATCAAACCCCATGATGGGCTCTGTGCTGACAGAGTGTAGCTTGTTTGGGATTCCCTCTCTCTCTCCCTCTCTGTCCCTCCCCTACTCGTTCTCTCTCGAAATAAATGAAATAAACATTTTTAAAAAAGGCACTCAATCTCTGTCTTCAGGTTGCTTGTGCTCTAATGTGGGTGGCAGCAATAAAGGACCACAACGGGACAAGGCACCTGGGTGGTTCAGCCGGTTAAACATCCGACTCTTGACGTGGGCTCAGGTCTTTGCGGGATCCAGCCCTACACTGGGCTCCACGCTGACGGCACAGAGCCTGCTTGGGATTCTCTCTCCCCCCCCCCCCCCCCCCCCCCCCCCCCCCCCCCGTCCCTCCCCCATGCGCATGCACACTCCTTCTCTCCAAATAAATACACATTAAAAAAAAAAAATCACAAAAGAACAAATGTTTGCGGAGAAAAAGAACACACGCTAAAATGAGGAACTAGAGCCAGTGATCCCAACAACAAAGACTGATCATTCAAGGTTCAGGGAGAAGGCGTACTTCCTAGTCAGGTCCCAGGTGTGTTTCCTCTTTTATGGTCACACCCATTCGAAATCGACAAGAAAAGAAATGTACATTCATATTTTTGAAAAAGCCAAATGAAAGTTTAAGGTCTTCACAGATTTCCTGCTCCCCCCCGCCCCCACAACCCCCAAGGTCAAATACGATTACACAGAGTGTATGTTTACATACCACCTTGGTCTCCTGGTCATTTCTGTTGCAAAGATGGTCTCGCAGAGGAAAATAGCCACTCCTTCAGATTTGTTATTAATTCTACAGAAGCAGGCTCAGGGCACACAAACCCACTGCGTAGAAAGAGTGATAAAATTCGAGAACCATGCTCACTTGCCTTTTTTTCCTCCTGTAATGAAGAAGCCAATGGCTGCTCTAATAAAACTGCTCTCGGGCAAATAGCTATAGTCGGTAGGAACTGTGGAGACAGAAAATGATCAAATTAACCAGTGAACTCGGTGGGACTAATGAAGGAAAGATAATGATCTCATGCTGCCATATCAACCTAGAGATAAAGCAGAGATGTTTATGCCATTAATCTCAGCACAATACTCTGTGGTTGCAACTAATTCTATTAGATTAAGTGACTGGCCTTGAAGTAATCACTTAGGCTACGCAAGCCAATCTAAAATGGGTGGTAAACCTAATAGAGACTGAAAAATCACAGGGGATGAAAACTTTACTGATGCGGTTAAAAAAAAAAAAAATCCTTTCCAGGGGTGCCCGGGTGGCTCAGTCAGTTGAGCGTCCACCTTCAGCTCAGGTCATGATCTCACGGTTCATGAGCTTGAGCCCCGTGCTGGGCTCGATGCTGTCAGCACAGAGCCCATTTCAGATCCTCTGTCTCCCTCTCTCGCTGCCCCTCCTGCACTTCCACTCTCTCTCAAAAATGAAGAAACGTTAAAAAATATATATATTTTCCACATGTTCACATCAATGAGCCCCGTCCAGTTAGCCTCAGCGTCAGCAAGGAGTCTGCTGGGCTTCGAGGCTGAGACTGCCATGCTAGGAGCAACTTCAGGACATTCAGAATCAGATATATGAACCATGGAAATACAACCATCAGTAATAACAGCGGCCCGTCTCTTACTTCATAAAGCAGGGACCTCTAAGTGACCAACACGTGTGAATAACCAGATGTGGCTGCTGACCTGGAACAGTGAAGCAGTGACTTTTATGCTGGTTGAGTCTGGGGAGTTTCCTAGATTCTTTTCCTCCCCATCCCCCATAATTGTTTCATGAGATGGTTTTCACCGCAACAAATGGCTCGACTGGAAAATTCCAACAGGAACATGCCGCTGTACTTTTCCAGACACACAGTCATTTCGTTTCAAAGAACCCGGGTAGAAGATGATTCACTGCCACCTGACTTGAGTATTATGTGGGCCAGAGCACATAACCCATAACGTAACAATTAAAAGTCTATGTAAAAAAGCAAAAGCCTGACGGAAACTTGCTATTTTACCAGGGCATTATGAGAACACTGCCCTTCAAAACCAGCATTACCTAAGGTTTCCGCTATGACTAAGTTTTTGGTTTTTTTTTTCTTTTTTCCCCATTTAACATGACAGCTTCCGGCTGTCTCGAGTTCATTATATTGGGAGCGCTGCAGAACCATGTCCTATTTCTATAGCTAAGGAGTGATTGAAAGCGAGGGAAACAGTAATTACAGTGCTACATGTTCATGGTGATGCTGTCCGCAGACTACCTGTCAGGGGATACGCGAAACTAGGTTTTAATGAGAAATCTTTGGTAGCTAAACCTCTCTGGCCTGGGTCCAAGAGAGCCAGGGGGTCAAGATTCTATAAAGAGCAAAGAGCAGATTTAGGTCCCCGTGTAGTGCAGTGATGCCTTCCTCGGAAAACCTCCAAGTGCAAACATACATTAGGCAGGTGAGAACTGCAAATATTTTTTTACTGCTTTTCTCCAAAAAATGGAAATAGAAAAGGAAAAAAAAAAAAACCCTTGCTATGTTAAGAGCTAGGATTTCAATTTCAAGGCCAAGTTCATACACACCTTTGAATGTACTTACCCCACTGTTTTCTTAAAAACAGGGGCCAGAAGAAATCCAGTCATATGTGAAGAGGCTTTCAGTGAAACTGGAGTATTATGCAAAGTGTAACTCCATAAAGTAAAAATAAAAAGAACTCTCTTCCAAGCCTCAAGGACCTGGTGCCTACTCCCTAGATTTGTCACCACGCTAACGCCACTTGGAAGTCACATAATCTTTCTAAGCCTCAGCTTGCTTTGTGAAACACGGGGTTAGGCTGAATGTCTAATCTCCTCTCTGAGGGAGGCAGAGAGGAAGAAGGACGAAAGCCTGGGCGGGGGAAGCCAAGCGATGGCAGGTCAGCTGCGTCTACAACTTACGGCCACGTGATCCTGAGCAAGCCAGGAAGCCTCTCCACAGAGCATCCTCTCCTGATGTAAAATGGGGATGGTGACAGCCACCACTTACGGCGGCTGCCAAGAGTAATGCTCTTAACAAAGTACATGGCCTCCAGTCAGCAATCCCTCCTTCCAGCTCCAGTGTTCTAAGAGTCCAGCCTTACCGGAGGTCCTACTTTGACTCGAGGACAGAGTAGACAGATGAAGATGGCCCAGAAGCCAGAGCGCATTTGACTGAAGACCAATCACTCCAGACACGCTGATGACCTATGGATGGAAACGTGACAGTGCAATGATGGGGCAAGATCCAAACGCCACTTAATAAAAGGTCACTCATAGAAAGTCGTTTATCTTTAACGAGGTGGTAGCTTGTCTGGTAATGACAAGCTCCATGACAAGTTGTAAGGTCACATGTGTAGTCTTCTAAACCCTGGACATACAGCTGATCAACAACTATTGCTGAATTAACGAATCAATCAGTCAAACATGATAGGAGGTAGCATTGGTGGTCTCAGGTTTCACTGAGTCAGCTGGTCTCAAAGGAATATTTTTTTTTTTCTTAAAAAAAATTTTTTTTAATGTTTATTTATTTTTTGAGACAGAGAGAGACAGCGCATGAATGGGGGAGGGGCAGAGAGAGAGGGAGACACAGAATCGGAAGCAGGCTCCAGGCTCCGAGCCATCAGCCCAGAGCCTGATGCGGGGCTCAAACTCACGAACCGTGAGATGGTGACCTGAGCTGAAGTCGGACGCTCAACTGACTGAGCCACCCAGGCGCCCCTCAAAGGAATATTTTTAAAAAGGAAAAAAAGTCCCGAGAGTGGGGGAAAAAAAAAAAAAGGTGTTAGTTATTTAAGAATAAAATACCTTTAAGGATGGAAGGAGATGTTATTTTGTCCTCTAAGTAATGTTCTATTACTGCTTTATCACTCATCATAAGGATTTTGTTCAGTAAGAGTTTTCATTTATCGGTTTTTCTCCCAAGTAGAGCAACTTAAGTTTCAGCATAATTCTTTTCTTGAGAATTGTATTCATACATTGAGAGAGTTTCTTCTGTTTAGAGATTTATGTTTGCTTTCAAAAAATTTTTTTGAATGTTTGTTTATTTTTGGAGGAGAGAGAGACAAGAGCGTGAGTGGGGAGGGGCAGAGAGAGAGGGAGACACAGAATCCGAAGCAGGCTCCAGGCTCCGAACTGTCAGCACAGGGACCGACGTGGAGCTCGAACTCACGAACCGCAAGATCATGACCTGCGCCGAAGTCGGATGCTCAACCGACCGAGCCATCCAGGCGCCCCAGATTTATGTTTGCTTTTAAAGGCACAAATCACTAAAACTTGTTTATGTGGTAGGTGTGATAATCAGCTGTATTTTACAATAATGAGAAAAAGTATGCTAAATGAAAAGACTACTTGAAAAGGCCATCTACAAAGTTCTATATGTACTAAGAATGCCAATTATGCAAAGGAACTAAGAATTCTTGAAAAGATTTATGACCAATTTTTACAAACACTTGCTTCGAGTTGTGAGGACCATCAGTGATTTTTTTTTTAGCTTCTTTCATTCTGTACTTTCACATTCGACGCAATGAAATTAGTACATTTTTAAAAGTAAAAATCTTAAAATATAAAATTATTTTGCAGCCGATGAACAGACTCGTTCTCTAGCCAAGAATGCTGACAATGATTTACCCAAATAGTTTTATCAGTTACATGCGAACTAGTGCCTCTTGACTATTCTACTTCGACACGGGCCCTTCCTTTGGTCACCCTCCATTTTACTTTGTCCTTAGGACCTAACACTCCTTGCGGGGTCAGGTTTTAAGTTTTAAAGGAAACCAATGCCAACTCAAGTTAGATCAAACACGACCGCTTTTTCTCCAGAGGCAGTGGGTGTTTGTTGGCAAACACAGGGGCATAAGCCACTCTCAAACGCTGCTTGGACTCAATGTGAATGGCCAGAGATCTCCCCATGTTTCAAGCAAAAGTCTGTATCATCAGAGAAAGGCAATAAAAGGGAGTATCCATTTTCCCATCCACGGACTTTAAATCCCTCTTCTCACCTGAGTTACAGTTTTAATGACTTCATTAAGTCTGGCTTGAAAATGAGAGGTCTGGATGGCTTCTGCCTTCAGCTGAAAGAAAAAGAAATACCCACTCCAACATTCCCCAAAAAAGTAAACGATGGTATTCGCAGTGTATGAGCTATCATCTTCTAAGCTATGCTATAATTTGCCACTGCGTCTTTACATCTCAAAAACAAAAGCTATGGGCTCCTTGAGGGGAGGGCCCAAGCTGTATTCATCATCGATTTCCTGGAACCAGTTCCGTAGCACTCACTTAACACACCTTCACTGTACAGACACGGGTGCTCCTTAGAATTACTTGTTAACTGAAACATACATGTGTCCACTGTGGACGTAATATACTAGATAGAAACTTAAACATCACAGATACAAAACGGAGTTTCTTATGGATGACTTAAATTTCTTACGATCTGGTCACTTTTCTCGAGCAGGGAACTTTGTGGAAAGTACATAAGCTAAGTTTAATTCCTATACACCAGATACAAAAAGGGAACAAATCTCTAACAACAAATTCTTAACCCAGAGCGATTTTCTATAAATCAAGGCACTGAAAAGCCCAGTACAACCATTACTGTGACCATGTATTCTGTCCTTAGCATACTGAGATACTGGGCATGCTCCTCTTGCCGTGGCTATGTACACATTCAGATTCTTCCCTTCTTTTGTTGTTTTTACCTGCATTACATCCCCTTCAGAGCCCACCAAGGCCACCATGCCATGAAGAGCTGCAAGACAGAGCATTGTCGGAGTGCCCTGGAAACAAAGCATCGGATATGTCAAGAGGCAAACGGTCCTTGGGTTTGAATTCTAAAAAAACCTTTTCTATCACAGAGAAATACGGGTCAAAATGGTACTAAATTTGTAGGGTCAACATAACCCGTATCCCTAAACCAAAAATGGCAGCAGACTTGAATAAAGTAATAGGTTGAAGTTATTAGATCACAGGCGGCTTCTTGTTGGTTTTTATTTTTCAAAACCCCAATGCGCCTTTACAATGAAAACACTGAGAAAGTAGCCTCTTAAAAAAAAAAAAAAAAAAGCTGTCATAGTTGACAGGATAGATCATTTATAAGGGATTAAAAGTTCCTGCATCTCTTTTGTTTGAAATTGCCTATTCTTTTACTGTTGGGCTGTGTACCTCAGCAGCACCTATAAGTGGCCTAATAAAATAGCTCTTTTTTCCTTTATAAAAATATAAAATAACATGCAGGACGTGACCTCCTACCTCTGTCAGAACAATTCTGATCCAGGCAGGGAGCAGCCGGTGGCCCAAGTCCTCCGCTTTTCCGTGTCCACACACAGACAATCCGTGAACCAGGTTTCCTAACGCTAGGGCAAAACCTGACGTCTGCATAAGCAAGGGAAAAACAAAGGGTAAGGAAACAGGAGAAGAATGGAACGGATCAGGAACTCGATAGACAGCAACCAAGCACTTCTAGGGGCTCCCTTTCCTACTGACACCTTCTCCTGCCATCTGAAAATCAGAGATTTGCAGATTTTTTTTTAAATCAAGACTTCTGGTTTGCAACAGAAACTGCAGTCTCACTAGGGAATTCAGCTGCAGTGAATGGTTTCTTTTAGGAAAGTAAGACCGGACTGTTACGAGACTTGACTCAAATGATCCAAATTTTCAGAAGGAATTAGGGTGAAAATACCAAGGTAGATCATGCAAGCCAAGTCAACTCCCAAACAAGAGGAGAGAAAGTCCCGAAACGAGTACAGCATACGCAAACCTCCACGTTTTGGCGTTGCAAGACCTATTCTGGATTTAAGTGTGCAGTCATACGACCGTAAAACAGTAACAAAGCAATATTAGCTAATAACCAGCAAATCCTGCAATAATTCACGATGGCCAAAATCGAGACCATGGGAAACCCATAAAAATCCAAATGGGGAAGGAGCATTTTTTTTCAATTTAACTGTCGTAAAATATACATAACATAAAATTTACTGTCTTAACCACTTTTCAGTGTAAGTTCAGTGGCATTAAACATATTCATACTGTTGTGCCACCGTCACCGCCATCCATTGCCAGAACTCGTTCATCCTGCAAACTCCAACGTTATATCCCTTAAATAAGAACATCCTATTCTCCCTCTCCAAGCCCCCGGCGACTACCTTTCTTCTTTCTGTCTCAGTGCTTTTGACTACTCGAAGTATCTTGTGCAAGTGGAATCACACAGTATTTTTCTTTTTGTGATTGGCCCATTTCACTTAGCATAATGTCCTCAAGATTCGCCCACACCGTGGCATGTGTTCGAACCTCCTTCCTTTTGAAGGCTGAATAATATTTCAGAGGGAACATTTTAAGGGTATTTAATTGGCAGGTTTGTTTGTTTTGTTTTTTTTAATGTTTGTTTTTGAGACAGAGAGCAGAGAGCAAGTGGGGGAGGGGCAGAGAGAGGGAGACAGAGGATCCAAAGCAGGCTCTAGGCTCTGATCTGTCAGCACAGAGTCCAACACGTGGCTTGAGCCCATGGACTGTGAGATCATGACCTAAGCCGAGGATGGAAGCTCAACTGACTGAGGTACCCAGATGCCCCTTTAATTTGCAGGTATTTAAACTGTCACATGCGTATCCGGTCATGAACAGGGGTTCTCTGCTTTGAATTTGCTGAGGTTTCATCTTATCAGAGTCCTCTGTGTATTTATATCTTTACAAATTGTTATCGCTAGCCTTACCTTCCCCTAGCCACATGTTTTAAGATTTTATAAATATAGAACAATACATGGGGAGAGAGAAAAGTCTTTCATACCCAAAGAACATAGAACATAAGGAGAGAAAAAAAGACACTTCTGACTGTTGGCTAGAGCAGTGACAAGAGAGAAGAGTTAGAAGTTCTTTAGTTCTGGGCACACACAAAAAAAGCCCCACTACAGTCCAATTCTGAGTTAGTCAAAATTAGGACTCAGCAGCAACAGGAGACCCCAAGAGAGTTGTAATCACGGCACGCATTCCAACCTGTTGGTTGTTTTCTACCAACAGCTGAAGCTTGTTCATGATATCTTCAGCCTCGGTAGCCTCAATGATTCCGGCACTGAATGCTGATGTGCATACACAGCTGAGGGTATAGGCAAGGACCTAGACGAAAAGACAGCGGAAAATGTTTCTTCATGAGTGCAAACAAAAGAACACAATTCGGCTGACACCGATGTTTTGCCAAACTTCTCCCCGGGATAAGGACTGGATTCAAGGACACCAACCATAGACCGGGCACCGTTCCGCCGCCCAATTCACGTGTCCCAACAACGTTAGGAGGTGGGTGTCACGATTCCTGCTTTACAGGTACGGACTTTGAGGCTCAACTACATACAGCTTGCAACTGACAGAGGCGAGATTCAAACCCAGGTCTTTGGACTCAAAACCAAAAAGTTCCATCATGATCTCATGGGAGGACACAGCATGAATCAACAGCAGAGGCAGATTTTTATCCCCAGTGAATGCTAGCTTCTAATAGCCATGTGCTCTGATCCAAGGCCAAGCAGGAGAGGAAATTCAAAGAAGTTAAAACCCTGCTGCATTGGGGCGCCTGGATGGCTCAGTCGGTTAAGCGTCCGACTTCGGCTCAGGTCATGATCTCACGCTCTGTGAGTTCCAGCCCCGCGTCGGGCTCTGTGCTGACAGCTCAGAGCCTGGAGCCCGCTTCAGATTCTGTGTCTCCCTCTCTCTCTGGCCCTCCCCCGTTCATGCTCTCTCTCTGTCTCAAAACTAAATAAACGTTAAAAAAAAAATTTTTTTAAAAAAGACAACCTTGCTGCATTAAGACTGTCTTTTAGGAGGAGTGGGGCATAATGGACCAGGCACATGGATTTTAGGGTCACATAAATTGTGTAAAATAGAGGTAATACTACTTCCCACAGAGCACCGGGGTGCTAATTTAATAAATCAATGAATAGATAAGTAAACGAATATATGAATTAATTATAAGTAAAAAAGCATGCTGGGAGTCGAGAGCACGCACACTCAGGTGTATGTCCCCAGTCGACCATTTCCGGGCTAAGTAACTTGAGGCGGGTCACTCGATCTACCTGAGCCTCAAGTTTTGCACATCACGGTTCATCATCCCCTCCCTGCTGCCTCCCACTTTCCTCTTGAAGCCCTCCTTTACAAAGATGCCGTTAAGGCCCGGTGGAAAGGTTCAACTCCCAACCGTGGTCGGTACGGCGTGAAGAAAGGAAGCCGTTTCCAAGGTAGAGGTTGGATAATAAAACATCAGAGGTGGGGAAAGACAAAACTGCCTGCTCAAGCCTTAGGAATCGAAACATCAAGGCAGGCCGACGCAGCAGTTGTAAAAAAAACCTTGCCTTCCTTTCACTAATCACGTCGCCCCTTGGTGGCAAAGTTTCCTCCGTGGGCTTACAAAAAAATACGTGCTTTCAGCCCGTGTTCTGCCACTGCTTTCAAAATGGAAATGCGGTGCCTGTGTTGGAACAAAACTGCGACCCTCCGTGCCCCAAAGAAATTCACCGATTCGACAAGTCCCATTGGGGAAAGCGAAGGGGCCGAGCAGGGAAACACAGCAGCCATTATGTAATTCATCAATGGCTCCCGGGCAGTCCCGGAGAAAATAGAATCTGCTCTAATGAGACAGAGAATCCGGCCAGGCCAAAAGGTCGTCCCCGGGTCCTCCCAAAGAAGAACACAAGGCGGTTCAGCTTCACCTGGGCTCAGAGACACGCGCCTCGGACGGTCGCTCGGAACGCGGGCGACTCGCGCAAGCTGCGTCACACAGGCCGCAGTTGTGCGTAGTTTTGCGCCGCGAAGAAAAATCTTTTCGTGAAGGGTGGTAAAGGGAATTTCCTCAATGATTTTTCATGCTGGCTGACACGAGGAAAGGGGAAAAAAAAAAAATCAAATGCCTTTTCGCTCTGCAGTTTCTTAGGCTTCTTCCGGGCCATCTTTTATAGTCACATTTGGCTGGAGCGTAATTCTAAATATCTCCATTTAACCTTCCTGCGGAAATCGGAAATCGCAGCTCTTCTCAGAAAGTGCCTTCTGGCGATGCTGACTTAGGTTTTTGCATTCACTAAAGGCTCTTATCTTCTATGCCACATTTAAGTCTGAGTTGATTTAAACAGCTGCACAATTTGAAACCTTATGATCTAACATAGGTTGTTTGCCACTCAGATTTTTCTCCTTATCCTGGCCCGAAACTGAGGAAGAATTTAATTTCAGGGTGACCAAAACACGAGAAGTAGAAAATAAGCAGCAACAGGAAAACAAAAAACAAAGGGAAGAAAGCCGTCACTTCCAGCTCCTACCTCCTGAAATGTTCTGCTTTGGCTCCCACTGTCATCCAGGTAGGTAGACAGCTTCCGAAGCGATGCTGCCACATGAACTCGAGACTCCATTCGGCTGCTGTGGCTCATGAGGGACAGAACAAGTCCAACTCCCAATATACAGCCCGTGCTTGGATGCAAAGAAAAACAAAACAAACAAACAAAAAAAACCCACAAAAAATGAGGTGTTAAAATCACCAGAAACCCACATCACCACTCTTCACTTATCACGTGAGTTTATACTGCTCTTCAGCCTGAGGTGAGATGGCTGGCTTCGAGATCCGCTGTCTGGGATATAAGTGTGCCCCATGAACCATGACAGGTGCACCCACCGCCCCCCTCAAAAGGAAAACTATATATTCAAACAAGTGTCCGTGGCCCGCGTTAGTGCTGTGTACCCACTGGAGAAGAACAAACGAAAACATGAAATAGGTTTCACTTAAACTCTAGGGTGAGGTAGGAAGACGAATAAAAAGTCAGGTGAAAGCAGCTCTACGTCTACCCTTAGAGAAATGCCATGGTCCTCTGCACCCTCCCTCTACGTCCACATATTGAGTGCACCATGATTAACTGCATGGGAGAGAAGACTCCGTCTCAGGATGCGAGCTGAGGACATCTAATAATGGGGCAGGGGGCGGGGGGGGGGGGGGGGGGGGGGGGACGCATTGCAAGGCATGATGATGAGCAACTAAGTGCTTCATGTTTCCTAGTCAACATCCACAAGTGGAATTTCGTCCTTAAACTATGTATTTGTCTGTGCACAATGACATTAGTCCTCTTCTCCCCTCTGATCCCTCGGAGTACTACTGGGTCAGAAGAGAAAATGGACAAATGACAGGCTTGTCAAAAGTTGCCCCATGTGACAATTCAATTGGAATCTTGGGCTTTGTGCCCCAATTCTCGTGAAAGAACACATATCCATTTGAAGGAAAAAAACAAAAACTGTTCTCCCGGAAAACTTCTGGTTAGGATGATAAGATCATGCAGCTGGAGGGCGATTTTCTACTTAAGAAGAAAAAAAAAAAAGGTTTTGGTCACCATTGTGTTTTGAACTGAGGAGATGCCGAGCATTTCAGAAATCATCCCGATTCTGGTTTGGCTTGCCTCGCACGGTATCTGCTGCTTAGGACGACGTTCCAGGGCACTTCTCCAGTAACATGTTTCACTGCCCATATGCTCTGTCAGTTTGCTCTCATATAGTAACTATACTATATAGTATATATATATACTATATATACCTCTCTCTATATATAAACACTATATATAAACACCTCTTGCAAACGAAGCATCCACATCTGATAAAAAGACACTCAAGAGGAGAGAGACGCTGCAGGATTTGTTCAAGGCCATATGGAGAGTTTCCAGCAGATGACGGCCAGAAGACAGAGGTTTCGGACTCCCAGCCTTCTGTTCCGTCTGCCCAATCCCAGGCCCCTCTCAGTGCCCCGTATGATGCCTGGATGAAATTGCCTATGAGAAGGCACCCTATCTAGAGCACGTTATTCCAGGTTCTATGGCGTTAACTATTTGGCATTAGGAAATCCTTTGCAAAGAAGCTACTGCAGTAATAATCCATCATTACTCAGGCAGAAGTGCTATTACAGCTTACATGAACTTAACAACTAGCTCAACTAGCATAATGCACTGCCAACCAGTTAAATCAGCATCTAACATCTGAACGCTGCGTGCTTTTGAGACAAATCATGTTTCTGAAAGAGGAAAGGCACTCTTCATTAGTATGGATTTATAGTCCTTGTTTCTATTTAGGATCGACAGGGAAGGTTTTGTTTTGTTTTTTTTTTCTTGTGTGTGCGTGTGTGTGGGGGGGGGGGGCTATCTTTCTATACCGATGCATGTAAAAATTTGACCAAATTAGAATCAAAGATAGAGTTAGACAAAATGTGATTAAGGGACACCTGAGTGGCTCAGTCAGTTGAGCGTCTGACTTCGGCTCAGGTCACGATCCCCTGGTTCATGAGTTCGAGCCCCGCGTCAGGCTCTGTGCTGACAGCTCAGAGCCTGGAGCCTGCTTCAGATTCTTTATCCCTTGCTCTCACTCTGTCTCTCTCTCAAAAATAAACAAACATTGAAAAAATTATAAAAAACTAAATAGCAGGTATCTAAGTCTTGCTTTTGGCTATTCTGGGCATGCCAAAAACCTTTATCCTCTGGACTGAATGAAGTTCCTCTTCATCCCGAAGCATACGGGCACAAAGGCTTAGAAAAAGACATCCTGGTTTCTAGCTCACATTTACCTAAATATTATCACAGCATAATTATTCTTGGGCAAGGTTATCATTAATGATTCTATCCATTGCTACAATTGTCGATGCCTGTTGTCACGTGTGAATCCATAATCTAACTATGTATATCAGTGTGCCAATATAAATATGCTACAGTGTATGCATCTATTGACCTCCTAAACTCCTTCTACTCTGGCTCATTTTTCCAGCATGCACCAGGAAGGCAGTCCTAAAGCTTTACTCCCGATGTTTTCTTCTGATTTCCAAATTATCCATATTTTAATGAGTTTATTTTTTGTCCTAAGTCTTAAAGATTCTTCTAGGTGCTTAGGTCAGCATTTCTACACATTTACCTCATTTTAGCTTCCCTTTGATATGTTTGCCAGCTCTAAACCAAAAATGACTTGGGCAGAGGTAGCTTTCACAGCTTTCTCTCCAATGAAAACAAAAAGGAGTTCCACAGTGGTGCCTCAGACAGATAAAATAAAAACATATTATAATATTAGGTGTTAATTTCAGGTTTTGGAATTAATAACATGAATCTCTAAGAGTACTAACAAACGATAAAGAGAATTTAAGTTGTAAAATCATATGCCCTATTATGTCCTGACTTACTTGAATCTCTTGTTCAAGCATACTAAAATATCACTGGCAAAAAGAAAATCTACAACTTAAAAGCTGTGCAATTCCGCTATGGGTGTTGCTATACCAAATGAGATATAAAGATTATCATGACACATTTTTTCTAAAATTAACCAGATGAATCTTCAATTCCTTACTTTATTGTGGGCACTCCTGCAGATTGAGTACGAGGCCATCTAATAATTAGTTCTAATAACAGTTAACATTTGTATAGCGCTTTGCCCTTTACAAAGTGCTATACAAATGTTATCGTATTTGTAAAAGCTCAATAGTAATTAACCAATGCTCAGGTCATTGATGGATGGCAGGACTGCTTAAGGCTGGGAGGACTGCAATGGCACAGTAATTACCACTAGATGGCAGCAAAATGTAAGCGATTGGGCCACGAACACCGACCAGACCAGGTGCAGGGTTCTCTCAGCAGGGACGTGTCCATTAAATCAAGGAAGCGTGGTGAATTTGCTCTGGGTGAATTCTGTCACTTGAGGTAGCACGCTCCCAGATCTATTAACTACCCCCTGGTAATGCTTCCACTATTTCACTTGAGAGAGGACCGCCCTAGACTCCTGAATCTCATTAGACGGGGGGAATACTTTATGCCTGGGCCTAGTTAGAATCTCTCTCTCTCTCTCTCTCTCTCTCTCTCTCTAATAGTGAGACACACCCACATGTTAAAAAAAAATAGTAACTACCATACTATCAGGTGTCAAATCGCTTTCTTTCTACTGAAATGTGTTCTCCACACAGAACTAGGCAAGACAGAAAAATGGCTTTGAAGTCCGACAACGTAGGCTAGGCCCATCCTTCCCTCTCTCAAACATGGTTCATCATTAAGGAGGTAAGAATCATGAAAGAAGAATGAAATAAGAATCTTATCAATATAAAAAGTTAACTTTAAAGTTAAATACACTTAGACATAGGAGGTTTTTGTAAGCATAAATACCCATACTGTGGACAATTCAGTTATCTCTATGGTTCCCCTCACATTGAAACAAACTTCCTGCGGATTAGTGGAGATAACATGTGAAAGTCGTTCCTGATTGTTCCAACTGGCTGAAAGCCTGCAACATGTTAATGCATAAATGTGTACCCAATTTTATATACCCTGAGCTACAGCCATGATGGATACCCGTGGGAAAAGGTAGGACTGGGGTGGGAGGTGGGCGTGGGGAGAGAAATGTATCTTACTCCTTGGTTGTAAAAGGCAACACCACCAATACATGGATTGGACTCAAAAATACCAATTCTTCATCAGACCCAGCAACAGTTAGATGGCCCTATCCCTTCCATTAAATCATTTTTGACGTTCAAGAGACTTCAATCATGTCCCCAAACTCTCTTTTCCCATATTCAAAGTCACGCTCTTAAAACATCTCATTTCATCCTTAACATGTTTCGTGATAAACTGGGTGGGTGTCAACGATTCTTATCTAATCTCAGCCTGCATTTCAGAGAAGACCCTACAACTACCACCTACAAAGTGAAGAGTTCATGGTCTACCCATAATGAAATATACAATATGGGCAGTTACTTCTAGTTACTCTTTTGTTAGTCTGCACTTACTTAACAGGCTAGATGATACGAATGTCACGCCAGATCACAAGTTCCTAAAGGGCCACCAATGTAAACACTCGTATCTAAACAGTGCCCATAACAGCAAAAAAGTAAATGGGTTCATAAACTGGAGGTTAGTGCTTACACTTTGTTGAGTTTTTTAATAATAATGAACCTCAGAGGATCTAAACCTGAGGTTCCAAAACATGTGGAAGTCCAAAAAGATACAATGTAGGTCCTCAAGGGTGTCAATGTTTCAGAAAGCCTAATAAAACTGTACCTTCTCCCACACAAACACAGACTAATTAAAACATTAAATGTCTCACTAAAGGAGTACGGTTAGTTAGCCTTAGTTTTTTGAGGTTTTTTTGTGGGGGGGGGATTTTAGTTTTATGTAATCTCTACACCCAACACGGGGCTCAAACTCACAACCCTGAGATCAAGAGTTGCCTGCTCTATTGACTGAGCCAGCCAGGCACAAGGTATTGTTTACTAAGTATTCTGTTTTGGTTTTGGTCACCCTTCACAAATTTTAAGATATTTAATAGACAAAATCTCTAAAAAGCATGAGATCTGGGGCAAGACAAGGAGAACCTATTGACACAGAGGAGGTTGGGACCCCCTGATATAACCTATGTTTTGCTTCCATTTTGATTCCTCAGTCATTGGGTTTCACAAGGGAGATCTAAATCATGGGTCAAAGGCTCCCTTCACCCAATCAAATTCAACCATTCAAATTTCCAATCAAATTTCAACCATTTAAAAAGGTTAAGTCATGCACATAAGTCTCCAGATACATGCTCCATATGATAACGACAAGACAGAACTAAGGTATTAGTAACAACGACAGCCATGAAGTGACGTGCATTGCTCTGTATTGAAGCAAACTATTGCTGAAACATGGTTTTTAGAAACAAGTAAGCGTTAAATTTTTTTTTAATGTTTATTTATTTTTGAGACAGAGAGAGACAGAGCATGAGCATGGGAGGCGCAGAGAGAGAGGGAGACACAGAATCCGAAGCAGGCTCCGGGCTCTGAGCTGTCAGCACAGAGCCCGATGCGGGGCTCGAACTCACGAACCGCGAGATCATGACCTGAGCCAAAGTCGGACGCTTAACTGACTGAGCCACCCAGGCACCCCAGAAACAAGTAAGCTTTAATTACAGGTTTTTGATAATTACTGAAAAACTCTTTGTGAACGAATTTGAGATCAAGTCCTATGACTACTTCACGATATAATGCAAAATTCATGGCAGAGGAAGATTTGATGCCTAAATATCAGAGAGGAAAGGAAATCAACATACTTATATTCAAGACTAGCATCAAAGCAGCAATTTTCCAGGGCATCCAAAGACTTCATCAGAAGGAGGTTCATCTGTTGGCCAGATATATCACTAGGCAAAGCAAGAGGAAAAACTGAATTACTGAAAATAATTCACATGTCCAAAATACCATTTAATATTTTCCTCTTAATATTTTAGTGAAAATACATTTTGTTAAAAAAAATAAAAGTCACAATATTGATGACTCACATATACTTATTTTGCAAACAGAGAATTATTGAGTTTCTGTACAGTAGCATCACTTGTAAACCAATAAACTCAAAAATGACTACTTTTGTTATTTCCTCAGCCCATTCACATTTTAAATCACTGAAAAAGACCAAAATCGGAATTCCAAAAACATTTTCAAGAAGGCCAAGGTGATTTTCTTCGGAATATTTGACAACCCACTAAGCTGATATTATCAATAATCATTCCAAATCTCTTTTCTTGCAAAGACCGTTACTTCTGATTTCATGTCTCAATTGGGAAGGCTGGTAAGCTCTACTCCTTTTTTCAAAGGCGGGGAGGGGAACCCCAGTCGTTTATTTTCCCTGCCTTTATACAGTAATTGATGTGGTTTTGCAATGGTCTTGGTGAGGGCTATGACTTCTGTAGTAAAACAAAACTTACAAGGTCATTCTATGGCTGTTTTCTCAGGCAGAGTTGTGGGTTTCATCACCAACACTTTTTTTATCAAGGGGTTTCTAAGATGTCACTTCTCCTGCTGCCCCCTCGGACCACGCTAAGAGGAATGCGGCCCCAGGAATGCCAAACAGCCAGAGAGCACTTTAAATAAGGTCTTCCCAAACCAAAAATATAGTACTTTTGCCTGAGGTGAAGGATTGCATTTTGCAGCGAGAACACGCACGCGCATGCACACACACACACACACACACACACACACACACACACACACACACACACAGTTTTAATAGCTTTGACTAAATAAGTCCTTATTATAGCTGTTCTCTGGAGTAAAATATACTTAACTATCCTAAACAAATGCTAAAGAGATCCTACCGGTATCCTCTGGGAGTTATGACAGCAGCAAGCTTTAGAATAATATGCTTTTCTGAATAAATTCTAGACTGGAATTTAAATTCAGGTGACTTTCTCCTAAGCCTTAGCTAAAAATGGATGGCCATGATTCTCTTCTACAGGGTGATTTTTCATACTTGAGACCAACATACTGTCCTAATCCTGTTCCCCTGAGGGGTCATACTGGGCAACTTATTTGATGGCACTGGCTATTCAGGGCCAACAGCTCTCAAAATGCTTACTTTAATTTTAGAAAAACGGAAACTTCCTCCGAAAACGTCATTATCTGGTGACACCGTCATTATCTAGTAAAATATTTCTTGGCACCAAAAGTAAACACTTTAGGTTCCTCTCCTCCAGAAAATTAGGAAGGTGGGAACCATGAATAATTATACCACTGGCTACAGTGTAAACACACTGACCAAAGGATGAAGCGCGCTATCCAGACAGATTATGAGAGCAAAGTGAAAATTTGAACTTATTCTGAGGGCCTTTGGCCTTGGAAAGCGCTTCCTGGTGTCCTTCCCCAGGCTGTCCAGCACGTGCAAAGCCACGTAAGACAGAGAGGGGTAGAAGCCGATCTAGGAACCAGTTTCTCAAGGTAGCATGATTAAATTAACCACACATGCGAGCTTGTCAAGCCCTAAACCCAGCAGCATCTCATCCTAAACTAATGAAGAAAGGAGCCAGAGCCAAGATGGGATGAAGTGAGTTGCCTGGAATTAAACTGCCATGGCTCATTTTTAGTTGTAAAACATGTTGCTTGAAAGATACTGAAGAAAGAGCATGAACACAGATGGTGAAGAAACTGCCATTTGTAGCATTGTAGCAAAGGGAAAAAAAAAATCACTTTCAAGTTTTAAGCCTTTCAAAAATATGTTGTGTTCTGTCGCACACACAAGATATGTAACAGTCAATTCACATGCAAAGGGCAGCTTTTTGTTCATGTCCAGAACCAGGCCTATAAATAATGCTGGTGAACAGAACAGAATGAACATTCTAGAAACGTTTCATTTATGATCACAAAGACTAAGCCAATCTTCCCAATCGTCTGACAGATGTTTCTAAGAGCTGAAAATGATCATCTGAAATCTAGTATTTCCCTAGATCAATAGCAGTTCTCCTAAAGGTTTCACATAATGGTGTTTGCACAAAGCTATGTAAATTACAAATGCAAACTTAACCACTGGTTTCTAACTGAAATCTAAATATAGCGTCATGTCATCCAGTTTACCCACACTGACACCGTTTCTTGGCTTTGGACAGACCGTTAATTTCTGCCAACCAGGGAAGTTTAAGGACATCGAACATCTCAACAGGATGCCTCTTCCGACTACCCTATTTCCAGTGCAGGAAAATGGGGCCGAATTCCAAGTCAGCGACATCTAAATATTCATGATATTCAAATATTCATGTTGTACCACACTACAATCAATCTGGATATATACAATTATAAGATTTGTTATAAAATAAAGAAGAAATATAATGAACAACACAACCAAAGTAGATTTATGCACGAGACAACTTTTCCATCTAGTGGAATTTTCCACTTGGGTCTTTGCTATTCTGTTAGGTCCATTCAAGGGTAAAGCTAGCAGTCCAAGATTGACCAAACTGAGTAAAGCACGCAGTATAATATGCACAGATTAAGACTCTTTAAGGATTACAAAAATGTAGCCAAGGCACAGGATAAAAGCAATATTTAAAACTGGGTACACGCAGTTCTCAGGTGACTCAGGTAATTCCCAGCACCTCAGGCATAAGGGATACTCCAATCTTCGTCTCCCATTTTACAGTGATCCCAGTAAAGGATCAGCAATTATTTTCACCCTCATGAACCAGGAAAAAGAGCAGCTTTTTCATTTTTAGCACCAGAAGATTACACTTTTCCTCATATCTATTACCGGGGTGTATCCTGGGCTCTCATCTAAGGACGGAATGATTTTCAAGCAATCGTCACCTTAGCAAGAGCAGCCCTAAAAACACATTCATGTCTTCGCGATGGCGTTGGAGGCAAGCCAGGTTCCCTCACAAAGGAGAAGAAAGGCCCAACTTGCCCATGTCAAAAAGTTTGGCGAGCACACGCGGCTCAGAGAGCGCGTGCGTGCGCGCGGGTGCACGTGGGCCACGTCCTCTGCCTACATCACAAAGAGGAAAAGGAGGAACACGCGAACAAACCGTACCTGAGTTTCTCCTCACACAAGCGGGACAGAAACATCCCCAAAGCAAGGCCCATGTGGATTTGCACGGCTTGAGACTCATCAGCTCTTGGTTTCCCAGGTAACCTGGCAGTCAGCATGTTGAGGATTTCCTCAACCTTCTCTTTGCAAGAGATAATGAAAACTTGCACGAGGAGAGACAAAGCCGTGGCGGCAGCCGAGCGGGCAATGGCACTGGCTGTGTTTTCACCAGAATAGGATTTCTAGGACATGCCAAAGAAAGAAAACAGGGGGTTGGCCTTTTGTTTAAAACATGAAGGAAGCATACCTATCACAAGAGCACGAAACGCAACAATATCAGCTTCTCTTAGATCCTCTCCTGCCGATGAAAAAAAATGCAATTAAAAAAAAAAATCTATTTCTGGGCTTGTCTGTAGGTTACCTTGTCACTCTTCCTTACTGATACGATTTTCCACTGAAACAAGCAGCTGATTAACAATATCCTTTTAAGTATGGGGGGGAAAAAATCTTAAGTGTCTTCTCTTCAAGGGTGTGAACTCCCTCACTATAAAGCCAGAAAAAAATGTCAGTGTTTTGAAAGCCCACATGCGTATATAATAAAGAACCCAAAGTGAAGTTACCCAAGCTTGGAGAAGCCAGCAAGCCACATTATAAATGTGTACAGAGCTAGTTTTCTAGGAGAGAAAGAAAGAGTGTGCGTGCGCACACGCTGCAGGACCGGCGGGGGGGGGGTTGGGGGGGCAGGAGGGGGGAGTGGTTAAAGCTTAGTATGAAGGAATAAATGTAAGTTCAGCACAGGGATCTATTGGCAGATCTCCCAAAATTTTTGGTGGGAACGCTTCCCAGTAGATGGATTATTTCCTACAGGGGGTTAATTCCTTTTAATTAAAAAGGAAGTTGAAATCCTAAAAGCCTCTGGTTACAAAGCAATAACCAGCTATTCAAAATGAAATGGGGAGCTCTATATGCGCCTTCCTATATGTAATTATGGGAAAAGAAATGAATAACAGCCCTGATAAAATGACAGGGCAGCTGAATATGAACAGCTTTTCCAAGAATCCCATGCTAGGGAGCTCCAACAGACGTTAAATACACTTATAAATACGGCTCGAGTGGGGAAGAAAGCCCATTTATCACTCGGCACTGTCATCTACTTCAACTTTTCAGACACACCATAAAGGCTGTGCTGTCCCTTGCAGTCAAAGCACGTTAAAAGATGTTTTTAATTCTGCACCCATTTGCTAAGCTTTAGCACTTTTTAAGGATAAAAATCACACACGTGCTAAGGTATTCTTTCAGCTAACATGGTACAATCGTAATGACAATACTATTCAAAATGACCCAGCTGCTAGAACACTGAAAATAAAGAAAGTGACTTTCGAATCAGGGCTTTGAAGAAGCACAAGAATGCAAAAAGCACAAAGGTAAGAGGCAACCCTGAGCTGGCTACGAAAGAGATTATTTTTATTGGTTTGCAAGAACTAAGCAGCGTTATTAGAAATCTCAGAGAATATCCTGTCCTGGTGAATATCAGAACCAGACAGCTACTGCAAAGACCTCTATATAATCAGTTTTTCATCCATCATTAAAGAAGAACACGTCTGACAGAAAACAAACTATCATAAAGAAATTACTTCTTTGAGTAAAGTCTACTTTCCAGTTTAATTCTACGTTATCTAGAAGTCATTTTTTTTTTTGGTCCCCAAGTATAGTTTAAAATTCTAGTTCTAGACCCTGAGCCCCAGATGAATACGTACCAGGTCCTCCCAAAAGGAGGACACAGAGGCACAGAGAATGTTGTAGAGAGAAGACCTAAGGCAGTGGAGTTTCAGGCTAAAATCACGATCTTAGCAACAGTTCATGACCTGTGCTATATTTTTATTCGAATCAACTATAATCCTCCGCCGCTCAGCTGATTGTCCCATGATCACTATAATTCCCTAAGCACTGGAGACTGATAAGGCAGAACCAGAATAATTCCATGCAGATCCCAGAAATAAAGCATGCATTAGAGCCAGTGAAGGGAAAAGAAAACCTCAACAAAAGAGTTGTATTTTCAGTTTGTTTCAAAATCTTAGGCTATTAGCAAGAAGAAAAAGAGTGACTCTTAAGTAACAGGTACTTTTTTTTATGATCAACAACAATATTGCTCTGTACATGAAGAGTATTTCACAGTTTTCAGGACATTTTCCCACAAATGACATCATGTGATCCTCACCAATCTTTTATGAAGTTGGCAAAGCATTAGTTTTTACCTTCATTTTACAGGTAAGGAAAACAAAATGGTGGGTGAAGTATCAGGTCAACTTTCACAAAACTAGTAAAGGGTGGAGCTGAGGCTAAAATCACTACTGATAATACTGTTCAATTGCCTGGTTTACACACAAGGAAACAAAGGTCCCAAACGATTAAGTGAACTGCCCACGGTCACATATCCTGAAATTAAAAAAAAAACCATGACTAGGGGCGTCTTGGTGGCTCAGTCAATTGAGCATCTGACTTCGGCTCAGGTCATGATCTCATGGTTTATGGGTTTGAGCCCCAAATTGGGCTCTGTACTGAAAGCTCAGAGCCTGGAGCCTGCTTCAGATTCTGCACCTCCCTCTCTCTCTGTCCCTCCTGCAGTTGCGCTCGGTCTCTTTCTCTCTCTCAAAAATAAATAAACATTAAAACAAACAAACAAACAACTATGACTGGACACTCAGGGACAGCAATCTTCAACTAATGTTTATTTCACTACAGCTGTAGCTCTTGACTCTGACTACACATGGGAATAATCCAGAGACCTTTCAAAAGACTGATAACGCCCAAGACCTATCCCTAAGCAATTAAATTAAAGGAGGCCTACAGGTCAGTATTTATTTTTTCTGGATACATCTATCTATCTATCTATCTATCTATCTATCTATAGAGAGAGATAAGATATAGATGTCTATCTAGATGTCTATAGGCATATATAGACATAGATACATATATAGACATATATAGATACACATATACATATATATATATATAAAGTGTGTACATATGCACACATACACATGCGCACACACTTAAAACTTCCCCAGGTGATTTTAACATACGGCTAAGACTGAGAATAATTACCCCAGCATGGCTTTCACGTGAACAACTAATAGGAGACAACTCAACCCTTGGGTTTTCCATCTTTTTTTTTTTTTATTATTATTTCTCTTATTCTCAGACTTACATAATAAAATGAGGAGAAGATTTGTCCTCTGGGTTGGTGATGGCTATCCACAATGACCAGGAGAGTATCAGACACCATGGAAACCCACTCTTTCATTGAAAGGAAATTAGGATGAACCTGTAAATGAAGAAAAAAAAACCATGAAATGGTAATGGAAAAAAAGAAAAAACCTAAACATTGTTTCTAGATCCAGGGTACAACCCCCTTCTGTTATTAAAGAGTAAAATGCTCTTCTCAAAAAGTAAGCTTCACTGGCCAGGACTTTGGGAGGCAGATAAGTATTTGACAAATACACATCTTTGACCTGTGCCCCAACAGGAGTACGATTTACCTTTTGTTCAAGGCAAGCAGAGGTGAGAGTCTGGGGGCTGCAAAACAGACCATATCTGAGAGCTCTCCCTGTGCTTGCCTGTGTTTAGTGAGGGTGATGGGGGGGGGGGGTGAAAAAGATGTGCAGAGAAAAGAAATTCACAATGTCTCATTTCGATGACTTGCCATTTCACAAGGGAGGCACTGAAGCAGCCTTGTGAAATTTTCATCACTATCTTTAGCATTTCTGCTTACTATCACCATATATTTATCATTTTGAATCATCACAACAATTGCCTAGCTAATTAGGTATGAAAGCATGAATGATCCTTCAGTTGGGAAAAGAGGAGGAAAGAGAATGCAAAAAAACGAAAACGAAAACGAAAACCACAACAAAATCCAACTTATTATAAAGAGAACTTGGTTTTCAAAATCATTCATGACCATGGATGTCAAAAGCATTCATTAACTCACATGGTGATGACACTCAGGTGGTACAAATGATAAAGGTCAATGCGGTGTTAAGTATCCTTGAAATTAATTCCTTGACTCAAAGAAGGCCTTCTTCCTAAGACCTTTAGTTGTTAGTCATATGCAGCTTTGAACAGAGTTTGAAAACTTCAATTTTAATCAGATAAGGAGGTCTTGAGTTTGTACTGAGGAATAGCCAAAGACAAGGCCATCAAGAATAAAAGCAAAGCCCCATCTTTGGCTTCTGTGGTTCTCGATGTTTCGTCTAATATGTGTTACAGCACAGAACAAAGGGCGGGGGGAGTAAAGAAGATGACGACTGCCTGAAACTCCACCTCTGAGCCAGAACCCTGGTTACTACTGGGGCAAACTGCCAGCACAACTGCCCCAAACAAGGGATCCTAGAAAGGCACATTCACTTTTTAGGTCATAAGATTCTACTTAGCATGTTGTCTTTGCTAAAGTACTCCATGGCTCTTTCAAGGATATAAAACATTTCCTCTCGTAAAAAGTTTCGTCTTAAAAATTAAAAAAAAAAAAAAAAGTTTCGTCTTTCTCATCATTAAAATAAGATTCTGGATTTAAATTTTCGTACGGTAACTACCCTTTTATCCTTCATGCAATAATTCCTTGGCCTCTTTGCCTTCCCCACGTGAAATGTACATTTGTAGCTTTTGCCACCCAGCAAAAGCACCTATGCTCTTGTTCAGTGGTGACAGCACCTTTGGAGAATCCCCTCCTCCGTGATCTGAAGCTTGGTTAAATGCTCGATGAAGCTACCCATCTGACCCGCCCAAGGTGTGGGTATGAGACCCAGGGGACCCTAAACCTTAAGTGACCATCCCAGTGGGGGTAGTCTGCTCAGATGGTTCTGATATCAGTTCCTGTGCCTGATGTCCTTTCCCAAACCCAGTTTTCAGCTGTGCCTTGAATTCCACGGGCTTCCAGATTCCACATCCTTCTGGTTCCTTTTTTACTTAGCTGAGAGTTGGTTCCCTTGCTTGCGACCAAAAAACTCCACCATGAAAGAGGAGTACAGATGGCCCACGAGACAGACACGCTGAGGGAACAGAGACAGGCTGAGTGACATTGAATAAAGTCTAGTTTTTGCAGCAAGAAGTCAGATGATGGTTACTCTTGCCGGGAGCTTAGTATCTACTAGCTGCTGTGCTCTACATACATTAATTCCTTGAATCCTCGCAAGAGTCCTTGCTGGTAAGTATCGTTATCCCCATTTTACAGATGGGGGACCAGGCTTTGAAAGGGGAAGTTACCGAAAATAGGCCGCAGAGCTAGAAAGTTCAAGTACTGGGATTTAAATAGAGGACTCTCCTATTCCAAAGCCTCTGCTTTTTAACCACTTGGCTATATTGTCTCCAGATAGTGCAAGCTACTAGATAATGGGGCTTAAAAGAAGAATAAATCCATGCCTTTTTATTTTGACAGATATGAATGATCTGTAAAAGCACATTGGAAATGAACATTGGCCAGCTCGCCACATGTTTAATTAAGAAATAAACGCCTTGCAAAAATGAATAGGCACTTTGTCATTGACATCTACAATTAAAATGCAAAGTACGATTTTTTTTCAGTCGGTAAACACTGCTTATTTATCATTTTTTTTGACAGCATTGTTCACTTTCAGTAAGCCTAGTTAACCTCCCAAGATTGGTTACCACTGATGCAATCACAGAAAGACAACCCCTGTTGCATAAAATTGGTACCTTCGAATGGAAATGACCACTTAACTGTGATGGAGAAAGGAAAACAAAAAAGCAGCAAGGGAAAGTGTCGTAGGAGACCCTCAAGCTCACAGTGTAAAGGCCCCTCGAGTAGCATAACTTGGTGCTGTTGCAAAGCATAGACTCTAACCTCGTAAATTCAGGGCCAGGCTCAAAGACACTGCTCACTTTTCAAACGCCGCCCAACTGGTTCAAGTCACCCTTAACTCACCTCCGGGACCCCCTCAGAGTCGGAGGAGAGGCTGGCTTCGTGTCTGGATACGACGACAGCAAGGCTGCTTAAGGCTAACAGCGCGTTGCCCTTGACCACTGGGCTCTCCCTTGCTTAAAAAAAAAAAAAAAAAAAATTCCAAGAGAGGATTTGGGGGCATTAACTGAGAGAAGAGAAGGTGTTATTACAGAGAAGGCAGATGATCAAAACACTTATTCCCTGCCCCGAAGCCACCAGCTGCTGCCTGGAGCTTGTTCCTGGAGGCCTGTGGCTTTTTTTTTTTGCTCTTCTCCGACACTGCAGGTTATGTTTTTCACTCCCCCTCCTCATACATGTATATGCTCAATGTGCTTGTTTTGCAACCTACAGACCTGAGCTCATGTGTCTGAGTTCTTTCCTTCTGAAATTTTTATTTCATCATTGGACACTGCATTTCCTAAGCTGTCGCCTTCTGTGTCATCTCTGGCCCACAGAACTCTATCGATTTGTTCTGAAAACAATGTTTAGGGCAGCTATGGAATTAAGGCAGAATGGAATTGGCCTCTGGCTTTTCTAAGGCACTGGTGTGGAAACAGCTTCTAGGGGCCACCGGATATGCCCTTTTCACCAGCCAGTTCCTGGCCACGCTGGCAGTTTGGCAGTCACTTATTATCCTCCCCTTCTTCCCTTCCTTTGATGTGCCAAAGCTGGGCAACCTTCAAGTTAGTTTGAATATAATTTTAGAGACCCTAGATAAGACGCAAAGATGGCCTGTTTTTTCTTTATTTTACTTTTAATGCTCATTTATTTTTGAGAGACAGAGATAGCACGAGCAGGGAAGGGGCAGAGAGAGAGGGAAAGACAGGATCGGTGCTCCAGGTTCTGAGTCGCCGGGCACAGACTGCATCGGGCTCGAACTCATGAACTCTGAGACCATGACCTGAGCCAAAGTCAGATGCTTAACTGACTGAGCCACCCAGATGCCCCAAAGCCTGTTTTTAAATTATCTGGATTGACAGTTGTCTTTTCTCATTATCCAAATGGTGTTTTCTTTTTAATATTAGCAACAAAATCTTATTTTTTTTTTTTATTTAAAAAAAAAAAATTTTTTTTTTCAACGTTTTTTATTTTTGGGACAGAGAGAGACAGAGCATGAACAGGGGAGGGGCAGAGAGAGAGGGAGACAGAATCATCAGGGCCCAGGCTCTTGTCATCAGCCCAGAGCCCGACTCAGCCTCTCAAACTCACGGACCGCAAGATCGTGACCTGGCTGAAGTCGGACGCTTAACCGACTGCGCCACCCAGGCGCCCCAACAAAATCTTAAATTTGACTTTTTTTCTTAATTCTAGTTATGTATTTTGAGAGAGAGAGAGAGAGAGAGAGAGAGAGTGAGTGAGTGAGCAGGGTAGAAGAAAGAGGGGGGAGAGAGAGAATTCCAAGCAGGCCCCACGCCATCAGCAACAGAGCCTGACGCAAGGCTCAAACTCACAAATCGTGATGTCATGACCTGAGCTGAAACCGAGAGTCGGAGGCTCAACTGACTGAGCCACTCAGGCGACCCTTGACTTCTGAAGTTAGTATCAAGAAACCTGAACCTTTTATTTTTTTTATTTATTTTGAGAGAGAGAGAGAGAGAGAGAGAGAGAAGAGAGAGAGAGAGACCCAAACAGGCTCCACACTGTCAGCACAGAGCCTGACAATGGGCTTGATCTCACAAACCATGAAATCATGACCTGAGCCAGAGTCAAGAGCTTAACTGACTGAGCCACCCAGGTGCCCCAAGAAACCTGAACCTTCCAAAATATACTTACCATTTGAAAATGAATGTTTAGCATTATTCCATAATTCCAAGGTGATTCTATAGAATAAAATCTTAAATGGACACTGATGCGATACTCTTGGCTTGCCACCTGTGTCATAACAGAAGTCAGGCAAGAGGGCACCCGTACCATCACACTTCAGTTCTGGCCTGGTTGTGGACTCCCATACAAACAGACAAAATGTTTCCCAAAAACTGGACTTGAGACTTGAACGTGAATCTGTGTGTCCATCCGAGAATGGCTCCTGTCCAAGAACGACCCCAGCATAGGAACGGAACAGGTATGTTAGATGAGGAAGACTTTCGGCCCCGCTCCCCTTGCGAGCTGAGGACCTCCAGACCCAGGCCACAGGCATGACTAAGCATGTGAGCTAGTGGGCATTAAAAGGTTAGTATTCACACATGTTCTTGTATTTTTGCTTCCGTCTGGTAAGAATGGGACTCAGCTCCTCCATCGTCCTACACATCTAATCCCTCCTGCCTTCTCGTTCTCCCACCTTGGGGTGGTTAAACTCAGTGAAAGCTTGCTCTGCCCAGTGGGTCATTTGGTTCACTCATCCTTAATTTCTTCCACTATGAGGCCTGCTGTAAGTGGATAAGAGCACAACATTCACATCAGGGGATGGGATGGAGGGAGAAAACAGAAGGAAGGCTTGAAGGCTAAGCAGATGCCTTCAACCCAGGTTTTGCTAGAGTTTTGCAGTGAGGATTACTGGGAACTCAGATAGCTAATAATAAAACACCAGAAAGCCAGGCAAGGTCTGGGTATTCCTGGGTGCCCAAGCCATAACATTACATTAAAAAAAAAAAAAAAAATGAAATCTTTTATTTCTAACATTATCTCTTTCCTTTAGCTGAGAATATCCTGAAGCCTGTCCTGCTACAAAATGGCCATGAATCCCTGAATGAAAAAAAAAAAAAAAAAAAAGTTTTAAATTCTCAGTGTCAAGACTTCGATCCCCAGTGGTTATCACCATAGAGAAAAGTTCGGATGGTCCCCAGGAATAGGATACCAAATCTTTTTAAAACAAGGGTATTAGACAAGATGACACGAAAAGCACTCTTATAACTCTGAAATTCTGAGAGAGCATTATTTAGCTTCAGTTCCAAAACCGTGCCCAACATGGTTTTGTTTCAGAAGTCTTATTGGCCTTGACATTCCTGAACATGTATTGTCCTTGTAAAATGGAGAAAAATGTTATTTAAAGCCACTAGTAATGACACCTTCGGTTGCGGACTAAATGTGTATTCGGACATTAATCTTTGAATAGAAAAAAGTATTTCTCGGTCCACATAACGCATGCTCAGACCACGCTGTACATTTCACAAAGGTACTGTGACCAGTTTCTCTTGGTCGTCTCTGCATTCCCTACTTGCTGCACACAGCGACTTCTGGAAAGGAGACAATACGGATTTCGTGAAACAAATTCGTGGAGGAGCTGGCCAGGTAAACATCTACAACCAGTTCAGCAAATACTCATCAGCTTGTTGATCAAATAACTATCCCCCCCACCCCACCCCACCCCCTGCCCCGCCCCAGTCGGGCAGTAGTAACTAATTTGCATAATAACATGTCAGCATCAGTACAGTATTTATCTAGGCAACACCACTAGCATTTTAATTAAACTGTCCTTTGGAACAAACTGATGCCATTAACCTAATTAAAAAGCACAGGAAGGATGAGCTACAAGGATGCTTTCTTTGGGACAAAGTATTACATTACATATTAGTAAAGTGACCCAGTCCTTTGGGGATTTTCATCTTCGGGTTCAAATCTATTTAATTAACAACAATGAAAATGAACTTACATCAATCATCAGGTTTTATCTGTTCTCTGATTCTCCTTTAGCCCTATCCTTGATGCTTTAAAACTGCTCTTAAGTGAGCAAATCAGTCTAATCCTGTGACTGGTGTTTTACTTCCTGCATTTAACTTATACGGCTCAGAACAAAGTAAGTCTTACAATGGCCCAAACCAGCCTGTGGCGGCCATGGTCCAAAGAAGGCTAAGCTGGCAGCAGGTGGTGGTGGGGTCTTCACATGGTTGGAGGAAGCCAGGGGGAAAAAGAGAGAGACGCAGAGTGATTCTTTTCCCCCCCTGCTCTATCATTAATCTCTCAGCCTTTGAACCTGACTTGCTGTCATACCTACTATTGTCGGCATTGCTTTAATAAGATAAGGTCTATAAAATACTTTGAAATTTTTGATGAAAAGGGAACACTATGAGAACATGAATTATTTTTACTCCGTGCCACTGAGAATGTGAAGACACTCTTCGTAGGCATTTCATGAAACGATGCCTGGCAAATCGGAAGATTAAAATCTTGTTGAAATAAAATTTTAGAATGGAAAATGCACAAGCTACTAGAGAGGCAAAATGATAGCTTGTTTTAATAGACAGCTGCTATTTTCTTCAGCGTTCCACGGCTTTTTTTCCCCCCTGCAAATGTCAGAGCACGGTTTTTACCAGGATATAAGTAGATTACATAATAGAACAAACTATGAAAGGTAAGGGCTGAAGACAGTCCCCCCCCTCCCCGCCCCGCTCCAGCACACCCTCCCCTCCAACAGGCAGCTGAGCGCTCCGCTCCCCCACTGTGTCTGCAATTCACCAAACTAGATAAGCAGACACAAATGAGTCCCTATCGAAGCCTCTCTGTACTTTAGTTTTCATTTTGTCAACAGATATGTCAACAGATATTTCCCAGTGCCTCCCACAGAAGTGGGTGCAGGGGAGGATTACCACTTCTATTTCCCTTTATTCAGAAGGCATTAGGCTGAGTGGTGATCGTGTACTGTGATTAAGGCAAAACCTATTTAGCCACAGAAAGTTCTGGAACACGATAGGGATAAACTATATTGAAATGAATTATGTCTAGATAATATGGACACATGAAATCCCGTAGGTCAAAGGTCTATCTATGTTATTTGGTGGATAAGAAGAAAGGCAGCAGCTAAAGGTGATGGTGGAAGGGAGAAGCGGACATAACTGACGTGTAACTTACTGCCAGAAACAATTACTCAGCTTGTTAGCAAAGGAACCCGAAGAGATTGTTCAAGCAAGTTCATTAGGGTATAATTTTCTGTTGAGAGTTGGCTTAAGATAAATAAAAAGCCTCAAGGTAGTAATACTCGTTATTTTTGTTAAAACGACCATAAGGATATGATTGAAACTGCCTTTTTAATGGGTCATCACATTCATTTTTAGCATTTAAAAATCCGGTTTTTAGGAGAGCCCGGGTGGTTCAGTCAGTTGAGCATCCGGCTTAGGCTCAGGTCCTGGTCTCACAGTTCGTGAGTTCGAGCCCCGCATCACAGCCGGCTTCTGATCCTCTGTCCCCCTCTCTCTTTGCCCTTCCCTTGCTTGCACGCTCTCTCTCAAAGATAAATAAAAACATTTAAAAATTCAATTTTTAGATATCCTGGACCCCATAACACAAAGAGAATGAAAGGGAGTACTACTGTGATTTATTTCCGGGCTCACAATTGAGATTTAATAACCTATTTGTAGAACCTACATAATTCACATTAGCAAGGAATTCTCTTTCAAACCACAACACCCCCCCTTCCCCATCCCAAACTAAATGAGAATCCTTTAAATCTAAGTCAAAGCACAGGGCATTTTGTTAGGTGTACGACAAGGGCGCGACCTCAGCGACTCCTGATGTGGAAGTCATGTTTGTATTGATTCCTCCGTATTCTCACAAAAAGACATTAACTTAAGAATTAACTTAACATGAGAGAGGATGACAATTGATTTTTTCTTTTTTTCTTTTTTTTTTTTTTTAAATAATTGAAGAGTCCTTGAACGTTCTTAAAGTTAGGACGTACTCTAAAGGGAGAAACTGCACCCGCCAGGAAAAAAAAAAAATGTTCATAGAAAATTTTGGGTAAGAGAATGAATGGATCTTACTTCACAGCCGTCTTGGTGATCTCATCAGTCAACATGTCTCGGACCCTGCAGTAAAGGTTGGAAATAGGTGCAAGAGTTTATGTTAGAATAAGAGCCCAATCTTTTTGCTTATCCATCAGTTAATAAGACCCTCTGGCAATGACCCCAGGCCCTAAAACTGTATGTGTGGAATTGTAGTGTAAGGTGAAAACACTATAATATGAGCTTTATTTCAAAGAGTTTCCTCTGCCTATTCCTTACATCACTTATCCGAGGCGGGGAAGAAGGTACCTGTAGACACACAGTGTTGTGATGATGTCATCTCTTAAACTGAATGGTGGCTCTGCTAACATTCTTTATATTATATTCTTAGGTGAGGCCTTTGGGAGATCCTGCGGGTGGACCCCTCATGCATGGGGTTAGTGCCCGTAAGAAGAGACACAGAATGCTTGCTTTCTCTCTCTGCTCCCCAACATGTGAAGACACAAGGAGAAGGGGGACTGCCCGCAAACAAGAAAGCAGGCCCTCACCGGCACAAGACCTCTGACCTCGATTTCTCAGCCTCTAGAAGTGTGAGAAGTAAGTTTCTGTCGTTTAAGTCAGCCATCCAGTCTATGTATTTTAGTTACAGCAGCCCAAACTGATTAAGATATTCTCTCTTTTTCTGCAGAAGAGCTCACTAAAACAGCAATTTACTATTTCCAAGTTGTCGATAATGGAATAGTTGCTATGTACGTATGTAAAATAAAATTTTAAATGTTGGTTACAAAATCACTCCGAAGTTGAAAGAAAATGATTCCACTTGTGGATCTGGAGATTGTATACTCAATTCAAATATTCAGAAAAATTTTTTTAATATAAAAGCCCTGAGATATAGAAAAGAACACCCATTGACCGCCAATATTTACATTTTGAAGAAGCAACCACAGATAATTTCACTATATAGAGTTTCATAAACTCAAAATTTTTATAAATACTATAAAATTTCCACAAATATTGGTGGAAATATTGGCGCAGCCTCCCCGCACCCTCTGACACAACTGATTGCTCCTTTCTTGAAATATTTTATTCCCTCGGTGTTCAAGATTCCATTCTCTCTTGGTTTTCTTCCTCCATCACCGTTCACTAATTTTTCGTGTGCTTTGTCGGTTCCCTCTTCATCTACCCCACGTCTAAATGGTGAAGTGTTCTGAAGCTCTTCCCTCTGACCTTTTCTCTATCGCTCATTCTCATTCCTTTTCTCATTCCTTAGGTGATCTTATCCAGCAATCAGGATTTTAAATACAGCTGATATGCTGATCATTCCCAAATTTCTATTTCTAGCCCTGATCTCACCCCCTAACTCTAGACTCATATCATCAACGACATATCTGATTATCTCCAAAGTGGAGGTTTAATTATGTATCTGAGGCTTAGCAAGTTCCAAACCTGATTCTTCCCCTACACAGACCTGCTTTTCTATCGTCGTCTGCATCTTAGTAAAGGGGAAGTCCATACTTTTCGTTATTCACGGTCAAAATCTTGGAGCTATCCTTGACATTCATCTATCACTTTCTTCCTTCTGTCTCTATCTATTTTGGAGAATATAGTCAATATGCGACTATACATTCACCAAATTATCATTTTTAGAAGATGAAAGTCAAACTTTATGCAAAAGATCATCACAAAGAGGAAGTGAAATCCAAAGTCTTAACCTCTAATTTTAAATTCAATGTCATAATGTTTTAAGCTGTGTTGCTATTTTTAAAATAAATCTAGAAAATGTCACTTAGAATAGAATTATGTAAATATACACACATGCACACGGAGCTCCTGCTTTTCTACATACACCAATTATCAGTAAATAAATCTAAATTCAAGCAAGCTTTGAATAGATTTTTAGATTAAAGAAACCCGTGGCTGCAGGTAAAGCAATTTAGATTCTGGGCACTTTACCTAGATTTAGGCTGCTGCCACATTAATCTGACAAGGTTTTCTTCCTAACCCATGTAACAATTTAAATTGCTTTTAATGTTCCAGCACTTACACATTTCTAGATAATACAGTGGGAATTCACCAGGGGATGTCTGCCAAAGAAATTAAAGCCCTGACGTGGTAAAGTTGCTCCTAATAATGAAGATGTCTTGGGGAGAGGGGGGGGAGCATGGGAGCAGAGGGGTATTCCTCGACTAAATGTGAATTAGGAAGACAGTGGATTGAGTGGGGAAAACAGAATCTTTCACTTGAAAGCATATAAAATAATCAGTTATGGGGGGGGGGTGGTGAAGGGAAAAGCAAACCATTTCCACGCTGCTGTACAAAACAATTTAAAGAATAATTAAGATTTATGAATAAAACTCTACTTGTGATAGCCAGGGAGAGGGTGGAAAATCCACCTATCAGATTTTTGGCCTCTCCCCCTTCGGGCAGGTAGGTAAGTGACAATTCTCCGCACACGCCTTTAAAGTGGCCACGTTCTCCCTCATCGTTCATTCCGCACGACGAGCACTCGTTCCCAGCAGAAGAGCATCCCCTTACCAGAGCCAGGCTGTGCCTTTTTTGTACTGCACCTCCTCGGGTCCTTCCTTCCCATGTTTCAACTGCAAATCCAGTTCTCCTATTCTGCCCTGCAGGACACACAGCATCAATCAGCATGCAGACCCCGCGGCCAAAATGACCCTGAAATTTCTTTGTAAGACACTGAGAACACACGTAGCCTTTCTCAGTTGGCCTTCGGCGTTCCTAATAAAACGTTAGATTATAAACAAGGATGTGTGAGGAGAGAGAATTCTATCACTGCTTTGGTATTTCAGCGCTCACCAAAGAAGTTTATCCTGGAGAAGCTGTGGGTTTGGGAAATTTAGTGCACAGCACTCCATTTGGGAAGATCTATTAAAAGCAGATTTGAATTCCAAAGGTCCTGTTAAAAAAAAAAAATCCCCTTTCTCATAATGTTCTGTGTCCTCAGCGGATAATTTGAACTGACACCGTACCAAGACTGGGGTCTGAGCACCAGTATTATAACAGAATGGTAGAAAAGGAGGGTAATCACATGACACGTAAGAGTCAGGTAATCTACAGGGGCGCCTGGGTAGCTCAGTTGGTTAACTGTCCAACTTCGTCTCAGGTCATGATCTCACAGTCCGTGGGCTCGAACCCCGCATCGGGCTCTGTGCTGACCATGCAGAGCCTGGAGGCTGCTTCGGATTCTGTGTCTCCCTCCTCTCTCTGCCCCTCCCCTGTTCGCGCTCTGTCTCTGTCTCTCAAAAATAAATAAAAATGTTAAACAAATAATTTTTTTTAAAGATTCAGGTAATCTATAACCAAAGCTATTCGTAAACATCTGCATGTTACATTTTTGTTTCTTGAACTTATAAAAATTGGTATGTTCAGCTTCTACACATAACAAAAATGTAGCTACTCTTACCCCTTTAAGACCAAGACCTCCAGATAGTTATTATTCTATTTTCTTTTACACTCAGGATCATTTTGATCAGCTTCTTTTCCCTCTAGTCTATCAACAATTACATTATTTAAATATACTGAAAATACTGGTTTTTTGATGAGCCCTACATTGGACGAGAACTTCCTGTGCTTTGTGTTACTGAGTGACAGCTCCCACGCCATTTTCAAAAGTGGTCGTACAGCTTGCGTTCTCACCAGCAGCAAATAAAAGTTGTAGCTACTCCACATTCTCACCAACAACTGGAATTGTCAGGCTTTGAATTGTTCCCATTCAGGCAGGTGTGAAACGGTGTTCATTGTGGTTTTAATCTTCACTTCACCATTTACCAAGGAGATGTGAAAACCTTTGCATACGTTCATTGATTTTTAGATTTCCTATTGGGTCCATTTTTCTATTGGTTGTCTTTTTCTTACTGATTTTAGAGTTCTAAGGTATGTTTCACAGAAGAAAAGTGCATATCCATATATACATACCCTAGAGGGAGAAGCAATACAGCTTGACGAGTAAAGGAGGTAGGCTCTGGAATCAGAATGCCTTGATCTAAAGCCATGTCTACCTGCTTGCTGTATACATTCGGGCAAGTAACTTCACCTCTCTAAACTTCAATTTCCGCATTTGTAAAATGTAGCTAACAACTATCTCGTGGCATTAGAGCATGTTAAATAACGTGCAAAAGTGTCTCTTTCGAATAACTACCATTACCAGGTTTGTTGTTAACAACAACCAAAAAAATCCCACCTCCCTTTATCATGGTCTTACGAAATGATCTTTCATGAATATACATAAACTCTGTTACCACCAGTGCGTGAGCTCACTGCAGGCAAGGACTGTTTGTCAGTCTCAGGGGTCCTTGTACTTAGCACAATATTGATATTGGCCTCCCAGGGGGATAAGCAAAATAGAAAATCGTATTTATTGCCTGTCTCTGCTAGTTATGCTTCTTAAATTAGCCTCTTTACTCCTAGGAACATTTACTGGCCACAGCGCTTTTCCAAAAAAGATAAGCAGTAGGAAAGGAAAAGGCTAAAATCTGCTTAGAAATAAACTAAAAAACAAAAGAGCTTTGCAGTATCTGCACAGCCTATTGAAAAGACCTGCTTTTCTCTATCTCCGTAGCCATAACCCACTACACCATCGACTATAACTAAGTAAACTTCGTATTTCTTCTTCCAAAGTCTCTTGCTTCTCTCAACCCCCTCTTTTGGAAGGTCCTTCTCACCCTTTCCACCCAGTCCATGTTATGCTGTTTATTCAGAAGCACTTTGCCCCCTAAGTCTCTGCCTGTCGGTCACTGAGGTGCAGAGGTGAGAGAGCCTCTCTGTCACCTCTGCTTCTGTGGTTAAGGGGCAAAACCACTCACCGGGGGGAGAAGACACTGAAATGATCACCTGAATTGAGATTTCGGGATTGCCTGTACATGCCGATTATTTATCGATCCTTCTTGTTTTTTTTTGTTTTTTGTTTTTTGTTTTTTTTTTAATCTTCAGCCTATGTAACCAAGAGCTTGCTGATTACAGTGAGTAATTTCACCTAGCTCCAAACCTACACATTAGAAACAAACATCTCTTACCCACGGTCAGAGAGAAATCTACCCGGGTCACCATTCCTGACCCTCGTTTTGATTTTCGATTATTTCACAGTTAGCTGACCAACTCAGGAAGCAAAAGTCTGCAGTCGGCCTGCTTTAGAATTCCTCTCTCTAGTCTGAGGTCATATTCACGAGAGCCCTTTATACAAAGGCTGGAGACCTTAACCAACTCAGCGTCCCACAGGGCATCAAGGGAAAGATGGCTTTAGAGGCCTCCTTCCCAAAACGGGCTCTGAACTGTCAATCGCTTGTGTCTACCTATGTTTCCCGACCATAGTGATGTCGTGTGGACCATATTGATACGCTTAAAATGCAAAATCCGACGTTCTCGTGGAAAAAAATTAGACGAGGCTGGACGCCGATGCCCATGCAGAAGCCACCTGTGGTGTCCAAATCTCAAACTTACCCCCATCACAATCAAACCCCCAGGAAATAAGGTAGAATGTATCTTCCGGCATATCTCTTAGGCTTAACTGAGTAAAACATGCGCCTCCTCTAAATGATCCTCTGGTTTAATGCTACAAAATATGTTGAGCACCAGATGGAAGTAACTATAACTCTTGTACAGAAGAAGTACCTCCAGGGCAGAAATTCTTGATATAGACCGGGAGTCTGGCACGGTGGCTCTAATTCTAAGATACTATAGATTCTGTTGAAGTGTGGGGGCCTGTTTCAAAAAACTCAAACACTTAATATGCATCCGTGTGCATGTTGCCTAAAAAGCTTCCCTGTACCTTCAAATCAAACTGAAAAACTTAAAGCCTATACTTTCAGTTTCATTTCTTTGGTCACCTGTTCTCAGTGGAACTGGACGTAACCAGAAATGCAAAGTAGAAGGATCTTTTTTTTTTTAATTAAAAAAAAAAACTGTTTTAACGTTTATTTATTATTGAGAGACAGAAAGAGAGAGACAGAGCATGAGCAGGGGAGGGGCAGAGAGAGGAGACACAGAATCCGAAGCAGGCTCCAGGCTCCGGGCTCGAACTCATAAACTGCGAGATCATGACCTGAGCTGAGGTCGGACACTTAACCGACTGAGCCACCCAGGCACCCCTAAAGTAGAAGGATTTTATTTTATTTTATTTTTTTTAATTTTTTTTTTTTAACGTTTATTTATTTTTGGGACAGAGAGAGACAGAGCATGAACGGGGGAGGGGCAGAAAGAGGGGGAGACACAGAATCGGAAACAGGCTCCAGGCTCTGAGCCATCAGCCCAGAGCCTGACGCGGGGCTCGAACTCACGGACCGCGAGATCGTGACCTGGCTGAAGTCGGACGCTTAACCGACTGCGCCACCCAGGAGCCCCATGGATTTTAAATGATAAATGAAAAAATACTCAGCTGGCTTTTCATGCATAGCCCTATCCTTTAAAATATTACACCAATTTGCATTATTTGTTGTTGCAACTAATGACAGTGCCAGGGAAAGCGCATGCTGCAGTGGAAAAGGCTGAGGCTCGAGGGTCACAGATAAATCCTCGTGTAAGTTTCAGTTCCTTCTCAGGGGCCCAGTGGTTTCTGCCTATGGGGTTTGTACCACTGCCTTGCTTTCCCAGCTAACCCTGCTTTTTCACCTGTAATCCCATCATACATGGGGTTAACAGCACCCACTTCAAAGGGTTTCTGTAAAGATTCATTGAAATAACATGTTAAGTGTTGGACACACACTAGTGACTCAATAAATGGTAGCTCTTATTATAAGAAAAAACCGTTTTCTTTTTTTAAATCAACTGTAAGTCATCTGCATGAGTTATACCATAATCCTGTTCGATTTAGCCTTCCTTATGCCGAGAGCTAAATAAAATTCTCAGTTCATTCTGCGGGAGGAGGAGTTATTCTTGCCTTCTTTCTCTGGGCGCCCGTAGGACTTTGCACATCCTCTGTTAAAGCCTCAGAGATGTTGTACCAACATTGCTGATGGACATGTCAATCTCCCACACTGGCCTGGGAGCTCACTGATAGGAAGGAACGCTTTATTCTCCTTGGTACCCCACGCACCCCGCACAGGGCCTGGCCAAAGGTGCGCCACAAATGTTTACTGAAGGAAAACACTGCAAAATTGCGTAGAGAAAAGGCGATGGGAGAAAAAGTGCCTACTCTGGCCCGCACTCTCACTCTTCTTGAATAAAAACTATAACTGGTTTCAGGGTGTGTATGAGTAACACACAATCCTACACTCACACACCTACTCAAAACTGAGTGCCCAGATGCCACCCAGGACAAAAGAGGCGTGGAAGCCGAGCCGAAGGAGATAGTGGTTCTAAAAGAACATCTTTAAAATGTGGACTCCAGGGGCGCCTGGGTGGCTCAGTCGGTTAAGCGTCCGACTTCAGCTCAGGTCACGATCTCGCGGTCCGTGAGTTCGAGCCCCGCGTCGGGCTCTGGGCTGATGGCTCAGAGCCTGGAGCCTGCTTCCGATTCTGTGTCTTCCTCTCTCTCCGCCCCTCCCCTGTTCATGCGCCCTCTCTGTCTCAAAAATAAATAAACGTTAAAAAAATAATAATAATAAAATGTGGACTCCAGTGTAATTTGGGGAACCATCTAAAACACTGCTGCTCAGAGTGTAGCTGACAGAGTAACTATGTTGAAATTACCTGACAGCTTGTTCAGGTTCCTGGTCCCCTCCTCAGTTCTAATGAATCAGAACTTCTGAAGATGCATCACTGTTTCATACATCTTAGACTCAATAAAATATGTTGCAAATTTTCAATTTGAGAACACCCGTGCTAAAATGCTTAATCATTCCTTCCCCATGTCCTTCCCACTCTTCCCCTCTCCATCTTTAAAAAATAATTTTTGGGGGGGC